TTTTTTATTCACTTTTTTTTCCGTAGGTTCGTCTTGCGAATACTCAGACGAACAAGTCGACAACGTTGTACCGCACCGAGTCCACTGTCATCTCCCTGGCTCCCAAGTAAATACATGAGTAATATTCATATGGAACCAAGAGCAGCATGTATAAGACAAACATCTGAGAAACTAGAATGTGTCAACTGAAACTGGCTAAAGATCTCAGTCTCAATGTGCCTGATGTTTTTTGTACCAAGAAAATAAAAAAACAATGATAACGAAAGTGGGGAAACGATCTTTGATCTGGCCCTTTGTCCATTTCCACCAAAAAATGTCCGATAAATCAATGGACAGAGGTGAAAACACCTTTTTGGTGAAGGTACACAGAAATGATAGCTGTTGTTTTCTTGACAAAAAGCGAAGCCTGTTGCTAATTCGCCTTTTTCCTTTGTGGTGTCACCATCTCTCACCATCTCTGTTCTCCTTCAGTGTGACTGGTAATGGCTTCCTGTCGGGTCACGCTAACGGGACCGTGGCTCGTTTCTTCTTTGATAAAGTCTCTGGGGAGTCTCAGGTACCTCACACGTTCCTTTATTTACCTTATGTCTTAAAACCTTCTGTTTCCTTGTGTTCCAGTTTCTTATCTGAACTCACATCCACTGTGTCCCACTCTTTCACAGGGCGAGCTGTTGAAGCATCCCTGCCCCCCCTACGCCCTGGCCTGGGGTGCAAACAGCATCATGGTGGGCGGCTGCGACAAGAGGGTGGTGGCCTACGACAGAGAGGGTCAGATCGTTCAGACCTTCGACTACAGCCGCGACCAGAATGAGAGGGAGTTCACTGTGGCCGCCACCAGCCCCAGCGGGCAGTCTGCTGTGTTCGGCAGCTACGATCGGTCAGTGCATGAACACGAGGCCACATCTCATCGTCTGCTTACAACAAACAGGTTTTGGTATCAAAGATCATTTGCTTCACGTTTCAGCGTGCGAGTGTTTAACTGGGATCCGAGGAGAAGCTCGTGGGCCGAAGCTAATCCTAAAGAGATTCGCAACATGCACACCATCACCAGCCTGGCCTGGAAGAAAGACGGATCACGTCTCTGTGCGGTAAATATGTTTTCCGTTGTATTATTTAAATCCATAGTACGACTTCAACCTTTTTACTTTACATTTACTTTCAGTATCTTTACAACACCTCATTCCTCAGATATCAAGTGATTTGATGTAAACCTTCTTTTCGTGTATTGATTTAATTGTGTGTGTCTTGACAGGGAACACTGTGTGGAGGAGTGGAGCTTTTAGATTGCTGCCTGCGAAGAACCAACTATAAGAACAAGTTTGAGCTGACCTACGTTGGTCTGAGCCAGGTACAGACAGACATGAACATGACTTCAAGCGTTCACACAAACATGAAGGGCCACTAATTCAATTCAAATTATTAATCATTAAGAAAGAGATGTAAATATTGTGTTGAATTTGTCTTCACAATGTTTCCTCTCCGCTTCCAGGTGATTGTGAGGAACTTCTCGACAGGAAGTCAGGTGGTACTGAAGTCCGACTACGGTTACGAGATAGAGGACGTCAAGATCATGGGAAAAGATCGTTACTTCGTGGCTCACACGTCCGATACTCTTCTGCTGAGGGACCTGCAGACAAATAACTCCAGCGAGGTAGGAACTCTCTGCTTCTTTCATGTCGTTCCTCTTGAAATTATTTAAAACTACTTCCTTTGTGACTTTTGATGAATCCCTCTTTCTCTCAGGTGCCCTGGCCCAGTTCAGGGGGAAACGAAAAGTTCTTCTTTGAAAATGAAACAGTAAGTAAACGCAAAAATATCGATTGTCAGATTCAATGAGATTTACACTGAGCTCAATAAAACTATAACTTTACTTCACCACAGTACTTCACCACAGTACTTCATTACAATACTTCACCACAGTACTTCACCACAGTACTTCACCACAGTACTTCACCACAGTACTTCACCACAGTACTTCACCACTCCACCTTTTCATCCATGTGGTTTTCAGGTGTGCATGATTTTTAATGCTGGGGAGCTGAGTCTGGTCGAGTACAACAACAACGACATCCTGGGATCAGTCAGAACAGAATTCATGAACCCTCATCTCATCAGGTGGGTCCACTCACACATAGTTACACAAACACAGTCATTGTCGTGTCAGACACACACATGATCACATGATGTGCTTTATTTATAGTTGTGATTAATTAGCGTGTGCAGTTGATGACTGTGCAGAGACTCAGCTGTTATTGTCTTTTTGATGATGGTTCATCAAAATTATGGATCTGGAGTCTTCAGAGAAACTGTGCAGCTGCTTCTCCACCTTTTCCTGAATTGACTTTATAAAAACTCCAATTTAATATGGAAGTAAAGTGTCTAAGAACACGTCCATGAACAAGTTGGACCGGATCGGCCCAGATCTTCCGTGTGTTTCCTCTTCTGTCCATTAGATGGGAGCATTGAGCTTTGTAGGCGTCGTTCAGTGAGAGTCAGTGAGACAAACGTCCATGTCAGTGTATTCAGACCTGTCAGATATGTCAGGACTGACCGTCCCTCAGTGACCGACTAATGGTCAGCTGCTGTTGAGGCGAGCTGGTGTCAGAATGCCCTGACTGCTCCTCGCCTCTGGCTGCTCACCGTCATCATCAGGTGCATCCTGGGATTCCAATAAGACGAACAGCAGCTCTTTTTTTCAGTTCTCTTCTAAAAAGTGTGTTTGTTTGTGTGTCCAGTGTCCGAATAAACGAGAGGAAGCAGAAAGGAGTGGAGGACAACAAGAAGCTGGCTTATCTGATCGACTTAAAAACCATTGCTATCGGTGAGAATAAGAGAAAAGTAACAGGAGGAGTCGCTGCTTATTAAACTAATTACATTACAACCCAACACACACAACACACTAAGAAAAGAATATATCCTAAAACATGTCCAGCACCAACACTAAGCATATTGTTTATCTTAAAACAGCAGCTTCAGTAAAATGGACTCGATGGTTCACTTCATCCACACGACTACATTTTAATATTAAAACACCCTGTTAACCCGCTGCTCCCTGCCCTTCCCCCCCCCTCAGTGGACCTGGCCGGAGGCTACAATCTGGGAACCATCAGCCACGACTCAAAGATTGACTGGCTGGAGCTTAATGAAACCGGACGCAAACTGTTGTTCAGGGACAAGAAGCTGCAGGTGAGAATGAAACCTCAGCAACGAGGTTCAGAGGCGACGAATGGTTCGACGAGACGATGATTTGTATTGTTGTTGGAGAAATATGAAAACCTGTCCGTGGGCGGGGTTTGTCTGAAGTAAGGGCCTCGTCCGTCAAACAAAACACGACTTGACAAAGTGATTAATACTGAGCAAGTTCTTTAGAGAAATAAATATATTTCAAACAGCAAAAAGTCCCTGACTCCGAGCACGTCCTTCCACCGAGGGTCCTGTGTGATCCTGCAAACTAACAAACCAAACAAACAACTTTAATTCCTAACTTAAGCGACTTGACAGTTAATTTTACTTTCCCCCAAGGAAACATTTTCGAGAAGAGGCACAGACAGATCACCGGTTCTGTGTATGATAGGCTGTGAGTGGCAGGGAGGTGTGTTGTCAGTTGTTGCCCCGCGGTGATGAAACAGTTTAATGTTTGAGCCCCGGGGCAGAGACATGGACAGCTCAGGTAATTGGGATTCTCTCAGTGGTGTTCTGCACCTCGGTGGCAGATAATGACATGATGTGATTACAAGGAAACGCCAACTTTAACATTGTGGGATGGGACGGTTATAATCAGAAATAAATTAAATAACTCAACGATCTTGATGAAAAAAATCAGGAGCCTACGAATAAAAATCTGGATCTGGTGAATTTAAATGTTGTCTCATAAGGAGAATGTTGTGTTTTTGCATATATATATAATTTCTTCAGGTTCAGATGTAGATTTATTTTCCTAGTATGAAGCAAAACTGTTTTCAGACGCTAAAGACATTCGATAGTTTGATCTTTTCTTAACTAATCATGTTGCTGTTGAGAAAATGCTTTAAACGATCTTCAGCTCAGTTCATGAAAATCATTTGTGCAACATCACGTCCGTGTTTTAAAGTGGTTGAAAATAGGATTCAGTGTCAAACAATCAGTGACAATATGAGAAAATTCAAACTATTTAATTTTCCACCAGAAAGAAACGATAAAAAACTGCTTCGTTCATTTAAACTCGCTTTCATGTGAATTTATCAACAGGCTGCTCTTCCTCACTGAATTAAAAGTTGGCCGCCCGTGCTCCGGGGCCGAAGTGGAGACAGAGCGTTATTAAAAATGGTGGGGGGGGGCAGATATTAAGGACGCTGATTACAGCAGCGGGCGGTCTCTCGTGCACACACATACATATTAAGTGCTGCGACAGCCGCTGCAGCTTATAGAATCTACACCATCTCAACTCGTTAAGAGTTTTCACGTGGCCCTGGTGGACGTGAACCAACTTCCTTCAAGGACTCAAAGTGACGTGTAAACAGCAATGAAAGAAATCCGTAAATCCGTCTCGCTTATATTCTTAAATAAAACGCAGGAGCATCCAGCTCGTTCCCAAATGGTCAAACTAACGATGTGTAGAGATCCTGAATCTCTTGTCTGTCTGCGCTCTGTCCTCCTCAGCTCCATCTGTACGACATAGAGTCCGGTCTTAAGACCACTGTGCTGGGTTTCTGCCCGTACGTCCAGTGGGTGCCGGGCAGTGACGTGGTGGTCGCACAGAACCGGGGGAACCTTTGCATCTGGTACAACATCGACAGCCCCAAGAGCATCACCATGTTCCCCATCAAGGTGAGAGCTCGTGCTCTTTGTATCCGTGAGTGGAGACGATGGACACAACTCTGTAACTTTGTGTGTTTCGGACTTTAAGTGACTCACACTTTCACCGCTGTGCCACTCTTTCAGGGGGACATCGTGGATCTAGAGAGAGTGGACGGAAAGACGGACGTGATCGTGACGGAGGGCGTCAACACGGTGTCGTACACGCTGGACGAAGGCCTCATTGAATTTGATACGGCTGTTGATGATGGAGACTATGACAGGTGAGTTCAGATCAACAGAAATGTTATTTTAAAAGGTGAGAAGTCTTTTAACTCAGCAGCGTCCTCCAGCTCCTCTCGAGGGTCTCTTCAGATATCTGTCTGTGTGTGTCTCTACAGAGCCAGAGCATTCCTGGAGACTCTGGAGATGTCACCAGAGACTGAAGTCATGTGGAGGAAGCTCAGCAGGCTGGCTCTCAATGCACGGCAGCTACACATCGCAGAGAGGTCAGACACACACACACACACACACACACACACACACACACACACACACACACAAGCCCTTTCAAACTAACGTCAGTTAGAGTTAATTACATTCTTTATCAGTCTTCATTGTAACCGAGACTTATCTTTTGGGCCTGGAGAGAATGGAGAACAACAAGG